AACCTAGGGCCACCACGAACCTAGGGCCACCACAAACCTAGAGCCACAAACCTGGGGCCACCACAAACCTACAGCCACAAACCTAGGGCCACCACAAACCTAGGGCCGCCACAAACCTAGGGCCGCCACAAACCTAGGGCCGCCACAAACCTAGGGCCACCACAAACCTAGGGCCACCACAAACCTAGAGCCGCCACAAACCTAGGGCCACCACAAACCTAGGGCCACCACAAACCTACAGCCACAAACATAGGGCCACCAACCTCGGGCCGCTACAAACCTAGGGCCACCACAAACATAGGGCCACCACAAACCTAGGGCAACCTAAAAACTAGGGACACCAACACAGCCGCCACAAACCTACAGCCACCACAAACCTAGGGCCACCACAAACCTAGGGCCACCACAAACCTAGGACCACCACAAACCTAGGGCCACCACAAACATAGGGCCACCACAAACTTTGGGCCACTACAAACCTAGGGCCGCCACAAAACTAGGGCCACCACAAACATAGGGCCACCACAAACTTTGGGCCACTACAAACCTAGGGCCGCCACAAACCTAGGGCCGCCACAAACCTAGGGCCGCCACAAACCTAGGGCCGCCACAAACCTAGGGCCGCCACAAACCTAGGGCCGTCACAATCCTAGGGCCTACAACACAGCCGCCACAAACCTAGGGCCGCCACAAACCTAGGGCCGCCACAAACCTAGGGCCGCCACAAACCTAGGGCCACCACAATCCTAGGGCCTACAACACAGCCGCCACAAACCTAGGGCCACCACAATCCTAGGGCCTACAACACAGCCGCCACAAACCTAGGGCCACCACAAACCTTGGGCCACTACAAACCTAGGGCCACCACAAACCTACAGCCGCCACAAACCTAGGGCCACCACAATCCTAGGGCCTACAACACAGCCGCCACAAACCTAGGGCCACCACAAACCTTGGGCCACTACAAACCTAGGGCCACCACAAACCTACAGCCGCCACAAACCTAGGGCCACCACAAACCTAGGGCCGCCACAAACCTTGGGCCGCCACAAACCTAGGGCCACCACAATCCTAGGGCCTACAACACAGCCGCCACAAACCTAGGGCCACCACAAACCTTGGGCCACTACAAACCTAGGGCCACCACAAACCTACAGCCGCCACAAACCTAGGGCCGCCACAAACCTAGGGCCACCACAAACCTAGGGCCACCACAAACCTAGGGCCGCCACAAACATAGGGCCACCACAAACCTAGGGCCGCCACAAACCTAGGGCCACCACAAACCTAGGGCCACCACAAACCTAGGGCCGCCACAAACATAGGGCCGCCACAAACCTAGGGCCACCACAATCCTAGGGCCTACAACACAGCCGCCACAAACCTAGGGCCACCACAAACCTTGGGCCACCACAAACCTAGGGCCACCACAAACCTAGGGCCACCACACACTTAGGGCCACCACAAACCTAGGGCCGCCACAAACCTAGGGCCGCCACAAACCTAGGGGCCACCACAAAACTAGGGCCACCACGAACCTACGGCCACCACAAACCTAGGGCCAAAAACAAAACTTTAAAGCAGGACATCCTATCCTATAGCACCCTAATAACATAGTCACTAAAGAGAGCAGCTGTAATAAAAGTACAGCCGACCTACCAATCTAAAATAGAAACAGCGATGGTGTGTGCTCCTATCGATGGAAAGTTCAGTCAGTTTGTGGGATGTTAGCGACACAAACTTTACTTCCGTGAGTACATTTTGTTACCATGACAGTATGGGCGTCAGGAAAATTAAAAATAGAGTAATAATTTTAATCAAACAATTAGGCTACTTCATCAAGCTTAATTAATCTGGTATGTCGTCCCATTGGGACCTAAGGGGGTCATCCATTAAATGACGTCACACTCGTAGGGGGGGAGTCCTTAATTTTGTGACGGTGTGTGATTAGGGGGAGGGGGGTTCAGATGGTGTGAAGTCACTTTTTTGCATTATAAAAAAGCAATGTTAGAAAACGAGTTTTAGCCGTTATTTCGCGTTTTAGAAAACGGTTTTAATAAATGAAGGGCTCAGTGGAAAAAGTACTTAAGTTACATTTTGTCAAAAATGAGTTAAGACCAGTATATTATTTGACTACGTCCACTTAACCATCCCTGTAAATTTGGGCCATGGAAAAAGTACCGAAGTAGCTTAATTTAAATACTCTGCACCAGCTGTTTTGGTATTTCAATAACAATTTAAAAACTTTGCACTCATTTTTCTCAAAACTCTCAAAATACACTTAAGTACTTTTTCCACTGAGCCCTTCAAATTGTAATAGGAATTTATCAAAATACTCTATGTCGACAGCAATTTTGAGGGGGGGGGGGGGGGGTTGTAGGCTGAGGTATGACGTCATATTAGGGGGGGATCTGGCTTTTTTGACGACTTGTGACGGAGGGAGGGAGGGTGGGGTAAAGATCGTCCAAAAAAGCGTGACGTCATTTATGGATGACCCCTAAACTGTTAATAGTCTTACAGACAACTCGAGTCTAAGCTATTTATGCTAGTTAATCAGCAGTTCATGTGTTCGATCATTTATAAAGCGGAAGTGAGCTCCTCTAAACTTTCTCGTAGATTCGTAAAGGTTAGGATGGCATTGCTTGTGGAATCAGGCAAAATAAAAATATAAGTAGGTAAATTGTGACAAAATCGCCGAGAAACTCTTAGAGAATTTGATAACGAAATTTCAAATTCTGGAAGTTTTTGAGTAACTGGAAACAGCGCACAATACGACTTCCTATTGCCCGGTATCTTGCAGAATCTGTACTTACAATACAGGTCCGATAACACAGCCAAAAGTCATGACATTCAGACTACAACATACTTAGCCTGCCACCCAAAAACAAACCCTATAAATAAAACAGACCTCACAAACTGCCGATTTTGAGAACTAAAATTGTATTTTTATGCCGAGATCATTGAAAACAATCGTCGCCAATAGCTGTATCCTACATCAGCGTGAGACAGCGGTCATTTGGTCCATGGAAGGGAACCAGCAGTGTTTCTTTCAGACTTTTTTCTCCAGGGAGGGGGGGGGGGGGGAGGGCGCTTAAAATTATTTTTTCCGAGGGGGGGGGGGGGGAGGGAGGAGGACACTGCGAGAAGTATATCATTTCAATATAAATTCTGAAGTTCAATTTCGTTCGGGGAGGGGGGTCGGCGTGGTCGAGTCGGTAAAGCTCATGGTTAATAAACCGAAAAGTCTCGAGTTCGAACCCCCGGGCAGATTAGGCTCGTTAGCTGGGGGCAGCCACTATTCTAGGAGAGACAACTCCAAAATCAAACGACTGCTGCCTTGTAGCTTGTTCTTGGTTGGACAAAGGCTATAGAAGCAAATCCAAAAAGGAAAAGCCTCAATGGCGCATAACTAGTTGACACGTATCATTAGTTGTGATGGAGGCGTGGTCGAGTCCGCAAAAAGCTCATAGTTGATAAATTTAAAAAAAAAAGTCTGGAAACCCTCTGACAGTAAAGGCTTGATGAAGAAGTTCGGGGAGGGAGGGAGGGGGACGTGGCGGTAACGTTATTCGAAGCGGAGGGGGGGGGTGTAGCCACTGCCCTTTAATACCCCCTGCCTGACTATGCCACTGTTTGACGATGTTCGATTTTGAAGGGCAGTATCAGCAAGTGCCATTATTTTCCAGGAGCTTACTTTACAAGGGTCTGGTCTAAGTGTAGGGACTCTGGGGTGGTGAGGATTGCATTCTATTGCCACAAGGCAAAATCTGATCTATTTATCTAAAACTTTGACACGAGTTATTTTACTTTTTTAGCGAGTGTTGAAAACAGGCCTACTTAAAGATACCTAGAAGGCAATGTTGTATGATGTGCTAACTTGTTGATGCAAAACCTCCTTCATGACTATTTGAATTTTTTGGGTTTTTTTTTAAAGGGTTCTTTTTTTATCATTGTTCAACCAACGTTCTGATACAAAGAACATTTTGTCTGAAGGGTTGTGCATATATTTTAGAAAACCTGAGGTTGGGATGGGGGTTGGGGGGTATAATTTTTGGCATATTATAGTGTTTAATATGAAGCAAGGATTTTATCAGTAGCATATGGTCAAAGTCAAAGGGGTGACACCAAACAAAAAAAGGCAATTTTAATTAGAAAATCTGCTTTTTCCAGTGTTAGTTAAATAATTTATAAAATGTATATAGGCCTACATCGTTAAGCACAGGGGGGAGGGGTAACACTATAAATTGCCTATAGTTTTAGTGGGTCTACATGATACATCATTGACAGAGGGGGTGACACCCTGGGTGGCCCCACCAGGTGTCACTTGACCTGGTGACACCATAGGGTGTTTTACAACACTGTCTTTTTATTTCTGTTCTTGCTTGAGCTTGGTATCTATTAGGTCTAATGTAATTAATGTAGTTTTAAATTGTTTTAGTCTTCTTAAACAATAATAAAGTTTAAAATTACATGCAACATCCCATTAAAAGATGAGGGTATAATTTACAGAATGGGATTTAAGCCTGTATGTTCTAAAGTATTTGCTGTTTTAATGCCTAAATGCTGAGTAATTATTTGTATGAGACGTTGTTTATGATATACCCTTAACTACTCAACATCTGATCATAGTAATCAGTTATTTAAATCGCTTAGTTAGTATACAGTACAATTATAAAAATAAGCCTATGATTCTAAGCCTATGCACTACGATCTTATTATAATTTATTTTGTTGTATCTACTCAAACTCTAGGTCACTCTAGCAACACTAGCTAGTCTCTAGATTTCTAAAATCTAGATTGATTTAAAATTTAGTTTAGACTGACAGTTTGGTTAGGGTTTAGAGGGTTTATCCTATAGTCTATAGTATAAGTATAGTCCATACAAAAATTAGTCCTATATAATACTATATTTTTATATAAAATATAAGGCTTATAAGGTGTTTGAGCCTCTAGGAAATCAATATCACATAATTTAAAGCTAAAAGATTTTCTAAGCTTACCTCAATAATCTACCTTCTAGGTCTTTTATTTGTATGAGAAAAAATTCTTTTGTTTCCTCTTCAGCTTTTGGCGCAGCAGTCGGGGGCACCTGTTTTTTTCCTGTTCCTTTTTTCTTGCCTTTACCTTTCTTTCCGCTTCCTTTCTTTTTAGGAGGCATGGTAAATTTTGATCAAGTAGCTATAATCCTATAGTAAGGTTCTGTCTTATAAATAGTCACTCAAATAACACACATATAGTTCTGCTAACTATAGCATTGTATCTTTGTGTAATGATAGTGTACTCGGAAGCTAGTAGTCAGCCATATTGTTGCTTGTTAACGTATCTAAGCAACAGTTTAGACCCCCAGAGCATGTGGCTTGGATACAATTTTTGTAAGAGAAATCTAAAGCCAAAATATAAAATAATAACAATGATAAAGAATTTAAATAAACTCGTCAAAACATTCAATCGATTAAACGTGATAATTTTATTTTAAAATTCAACTGTTGTTCTATATCGGTATTAACTACAACGCTCTTTTTAAAATTAATTTACTTTTTAGCTAGGCCTAAATAATTACTTCCCCTTTTTTGTACTGTAGCCTCGACTTGCCCTGTGTTTTTATTTCATTTTACTTATTCAAGAGTCTGTGGACTTCTCTGTTGAGTTTAGACTTTAAAATTATCAGTCTAAAATTATTCAAGGATAGAACAAAAGATTCTTCACTCACTGGGTAGATTAGATCTAGATCTATTTGTTTATTTCTCAATAAGCCTTAAATTTAAATCCTTAGTAAGGATTCCTTACAAATTCTGAAATTGCCTTTCCGAAAACTTAAATTTTAAGTTAAAACCTTAGGCCTTAGGAGGCCCTAAAATAAAAAATAAAATGCTAAAATCAAAAATATTAAAATTAAAATAAGACTTAATTATAATACTTAATAAGATCTTCGATCTAGATCTAGATATCTGCATTATCTAGAGTCTTCGTCAGCACACAACAGTGTGATTACAGATTAGACAAATAAAGACAAACAGTAACACATTTTTTTGTATGAGTAACACATTTTGTAACTGTCTTTAACTTGTGAGGTAACTAATACTATCTGTTTCCAAAAAATGTGTTACTGTTTGTCTTTATTTGTCTAATCTGTAATCACACTGTTGTGTGCTGACGAAGACCTTGGGTCGAAACGTCCATAGTACTTGTAACTGTCTTTAACTTGTGAGGTAACTAATACTATCTGTTTTATTACTAATTACATTAACCTCACTGCAGCTACCATTTGTTTTTTTATCTAGAGTCTAGATCTCTAGATTTAGTTTTTAGATCTAGATCTAGACTGGGTAAAACTCCAATCTACCTCTTAATTTAATCCTAGTGTTTTTCTAACGTGTTTGTATGTTTTGGTTGTGTTTATAATAAAATATGCTCAACTGGAGGTGAACGTGAAGCAGGGAATAAAATACGCTAAAATGGAGTTTTACCTCTAGACTCTTCTAGTACTAGCTAGTCTGGTATTCAAGAATCTAGGAACTGGACGATATTTCATTATTTCTTATTTCTTCGAATCGTCCCTTTGAATCCCGGTCAGAACATTCCCCCAGCCTGGTCTCAACCAACTGACTTGTTGCATTGGGTTAAATATAATTTATAAACTCAAAACAATAATAATATAAACTACAATCTCTTTCAGTCGGTCAGGCCACATACCATGCACACACAGTGTTGTATGTCGTGCCTTGCCCAAAACTCTAGTTACTAGTAGTTAGACTAGACCTAGAGTCCAGACTCTAGAGTAGAGTTCTAGACTATGTATTTTTATCATTTTAATGAATAATGACAATTTTATCTGTCAAACTTGTTAGCTCGTGCATTCAATCAGTTTTTCTTTATCATAATTTCAACCTTCTGTATTATTAAATATTAATTTCTATTGAAATACCTCGCTCACTGCATGCTTTTCAAACATCTTCACTATTATTGTAAGCATTTTTCCAGTATTGGTTCCTATTAACAGGTGACTAATTCTTTCAGAGAAAATATACAAAGGATAAAATGCAGCTTGAATTTATGTATCGAATTCATTTTGGTCCATGTCAACCTTTTGGATGTCGGTCTTTTGTCCTACACCCCATTTTGACTCGATGTTAATTAAAATAGTAAAATTAACATTGCAGTTTTATTCATAGAAAAATATCATAGTCTTAATTGTTTTATCGAGAGTCTGTTGGGTGTACAGTTAGCTCAGGGGCATGGGATTCAAAAGATTAGATATCGGGCAGATGAAGCTCGTTAGCTGGGGACAGCGACTCTTCTAGGAGAGACAACTCCAAAATCAAACAACTGCTGCCTTGTAGTTTGTTCTTGGTTGGAAAAAAGCTATGGAAGCAAATCCAAACAGAAAAGCAGGCTGAAATCGAAAGTCAATGGCCTCAATGGCACATAACCAGTTGACATGTATCCTTAATTTTGATGGAGGAGTGGTCGAGTCTACAAAAGTCCATGGTTAATAAATTGGAAATAAGTCTCGAGTTCAAACCCCCTGGCAGTAAAGGCTTGATCCCTTCCAACACTAAAAATTAAGAACGAAGAAGAAGAAAAAATTAGATAAAAATTAGCCTAAAAATATGTCCAAACTCTTTAAAAGCTGAAAAGTATTTTCCCTACATCCCATTTTGACTCAATGTTAATTAAAATTGGGGGAATAGTAAAATTAATATGGTAGTTTTATTCATAGCAAAATATCATAGTCTCAATTGTTTTATCCAGAGTCTGTTGGGTGTACAGATAGCTCAGGGGCATGGGATTCAAGAGATTAGTTAAAAATTAGCCTAAAAATATGTCCAAACTCTTTAAAAGCCGAAAAGTATTTTTGAAAAAGTATCGCTATTTGTGTAGGCTTATGGTAAGTTATTTTAGTAAAATATTTTTCTTATATTTTATTTCTTCTATATTTCAGTAAATCAAATGATATTTAAAGCGAGTTTAAATTACTCAAATGAACCACTTTCCACCCCACCAATACCAAGATTCCACATTTGCCATCCATCAACGCTATGAGGATACCTCATATGTTATATTTCACCAAATTCAAAAAGTGAAACCAAAGGGTAAAGCTGGAGCCCATGGAGCACCCTACAGCTCCCCTCCTTTAAGGCAACAACAATCAGCTGGAGTTGGTGTTCGTGACAGACCTTCACCAGGTCCCAAATCTCCAGACCACGTTGTACAGAGCAAGGTCTGCAACATTATTTAAAGGCTTCATAAAAGGTTATAATAAGGGAGTGGAAAACATTTTAGTTATTGCTATTGCTAGATTTTCGTACTTGTGCTAAAACCACACAATCATCTACAAGATTTTTGCATCAATCTTAACTATATCTAACGCTAATCTAACACTAATCATACCATTGAGTGGCTGAGGTGTTTAAGTACTATAGTTTTAGCTTCTTGGTAGAATTAGTTCTAGTGCTGTTTCTTTAAAATAATAGTTTACCAACATCTATTTGGTCATACCCAAATCCCTTTAGTCAAATTTTGCTAGAGTAAGTAGTTTAACATATTATGTTTTAAAGTAGCATCATAGAAATACTACAAATGTGTCTAATCTATAATACCAATATTAATTTTAAGCAAATAATATATACTGACCATCTTTACACCTAACAGCTGTTTAAATCTATCTGTCTCACTCTAAAAATTCTTACTGGTACAAATATTCTACCTCTACATCATGACCGACTAATTTTTAAATTGTCAATTTGATTTTTGCTTAATTAACAATTTACCCATGTGTGGCCCTAACTTCTTACATTTATAAAACTTTTTACTTTTCTTTTTGTGAAAGTAGTTTACTTGGGTGTAATATACATATAAACAAATAGGATATTAAAACAATTAATTTTTTGCTTCTAGACATTTTCTGAATAAAGCACTTTCATATTCAGTATAATAGTATTTTGATATAATAGTTATTATTTTAATTGTAGTAACTTGTAGTGCACTTGCCCATTCTAACATAAAACCTTTGTTGATTGATGACTGTTTATCTTAATACATTTATTTCTAATAACCTGTCGTTATGAGATTACCAACTCAATAATGCTAATTGTATGATGATATTATTACTAAGGGGTATCAGTTTTACTATTTTATTATAAAGATAGATAGAGAACTAACACAGTTTTTTTTACTTTGTTTATTCTTCAGGAAAAGCACAAATAGCCTTCCATATTTACTGCTTTGAGAAATCAGAACACAGGTCTAAAACTTTTTTATAGAATATTTAAGGCCTTGGTTCACAACAACCTGAAGACATCCATACAATTTTTACATACACTATTTGAGGCTTTGGTTCACACTTTCTCAACCCCAATGAATGGAGCTCCACCCATTCCTTGATGACACTATCCAGCCGTCCCCACTATGGTGGTATGTGTTGCCCATAGCGGGAGACTGCCCATCAATGAGGGTGGGGCACTCCTCTGTGTTTGTGCCAGCTCTTCACACTGATGAGAGTGATAAAGTGTTTGTTATAGGGGGTGCCAACCCTGGGCAAGTATTTAATGAAGTTTATGTTCTGGATCTGAAGTCTAGGAAATGGGATACACTAGAAGCCACAGGATTCCGTGGCAGGTACGAGCACGCTGCCTTCTATGTTCCAAATATACCTGGGAAAATTTTTGTTTTCGGTGGCGCCACTCAGTCTGGAAGCTTAAATGACATCCAAGCCCTGGACGTATCATCAGGCTTGTGGTCAGATGTTGAGGTATCTGGCACGCCGCCCTCCCCGCGTACACACCGTAGTTCAGTTGTGATAGGGTCCAAAGTTTATTTCTACAGCGGGGGTCACAGTGGCCCCGACCCCGTGGGTGACCGGCGAGTTCACTGCCTGGACACCAGTACCATGTCGTGGAGCTCCCTGGCTCCAAACGGGAACTCTCCTAAACCTCGCCACGGCCACGTTATGGCAGCGGTGAACAACAAGATCTATTTACACGGAGGAATGGCCGGCTCAACATTCTATGACGACCTGTACGTGCTAGACCTGGTAAAGTGTGAGTGGAGCTTAGTGAAAAAGAAAAAGACCTCACCCCCAGCGCGTGCTGCTCATGAAGCAATTGTCCACAATAAAGAGCTCTTCTTATTTGGAGGAATGAATAAATCTGGTGCCTTGGATGATGCATACAAGTTTAATACAGGTAGTGTTTTTATTGCAGTAAAATAATTTTTTAACAAAAATATGTTTAAAAAAAACTATTCTTATCAAGATAAATCTGAACAGTTTGTACTACATAATGTATTATTTCATTCTCAAGAAATTCCTATTCTAAATCGTAAGCAAAATATCATACCTTTACGTAAGTTAGCTTTGTTTTAAAAGATGATGGAAGTAACTGATTTTACAAATAATTTAAAAATCTACTTGCTTGACCTATCCTCTGTACATTTGTTTGATCATTTCATGAAGAAAGCAACACATGGACGCAGGTCAAGTTTGAAGGACCTGCCCCACCCAACCGGCTGGACTTTGCCATGTGTACCATCAGACTTAAGTTCCCAGCTCACTGCCCACAGGCTCATCCTGAGAGCCAGTTGTCAGGGGTCAGCACCAAGGTCAAGGAAGTTTTAGAAAGGGAGTTAAAACCAGGAAGTGCTAGCTCTAGGGAATCTGTCTCAGAGAGTGGAAGTGGTGGGTAGATTTTAGTTTTTTACTGTTCATTGTTCTACACATTGTTGTGAGATATAACATTAATGAAAAAAACAACAGCACATCAGCTATTAAAAAAACCCACATCAACTTATATGTAGTAAACATAACAAACATAGCCTGTTATTTTATAATTAAAAAATTCTGTTGTAAATAAATGTATAAACAGAGCTGACTTGTGTAGTGTTCTTTGTCTGCAGTCTATTATTTTAAAACTATGACAGAACTATTGGGTCAGCTAAATTTAAAATTAAATTTTACTTTAGCATCCCTTTGAAAGGGAACTTTACTATCCTATAGAAACCTACATTCCATGCTAGTTAAAAGTACATTTTCTTCATTCCATTGGGCAGTCTATTATTTGTTAATGAATTTCTTTGTTTTACAGTAGACGAGCCATTATTTGTTCTAGAGCCAGAAGCTGCTCCAGCTCAGTGTAATAGCACGCTATCAGCTGGAGATGAGGAGGTCAAAGGTCAAGAGCTGCCAGTAGCCATGGAGGAGAGAACTCTGGTTCTGATAAACGGTGGGATGGACACTGAAGGGGAAATCTTTGATGATACCCTTGTTTTATGCTTGTGAGCTAGAGCAGAATCTAGTGTTTAAAATGGCTTGCTATGGAAATCCTGTGTTCTTTTAAATTATTTTATTTCACTGCAATTTAAAAAATGTACCTTTCTTTTTTATAATACGAATATGGAGCAATTATATTTTAATTAGGGTCAAGACAAAATCTTCATTTAGATTTATGTTGGATCCCAGTCATGTTTTAACTCTTTGTTTTGTTTCATGCTGTTAGAAAAAAAAAGTGTAAATTTTTAATAGTTGTTTTAAAAACATGCTTGAAATGTCGATGTTACAATTATGCCAACTGTTGCAACTAGATTTTAAAGTAGCTGCTTTAAACTGTTTGTGCTCGTGTTTTTATACTTTTTAAAAAGCAACTGGTCTAGTTTTGTCAGCTTTAAATTTTCTCTGGTTTTTTAAAATGTTCTATTTTCTTCAGCTTTAAACTACATAGGCCCTGCTCTGTACAGGATTAGATTGGTTCTGGACAGTGTTTCTACCTAATGTTCTAAATTGTGTATCAGTAAAACAAAAAAAAGGCAGTCTGCCAATATAAAACCAGAAATTGGTTGTAGATGTTCTTCTTCTTCTTCGGAAGGGATCGAGCCTTATCTGCTAGCCGGTTTGAACTTGCGACTTTTTCGAATTTAACAACCAAGAGCTTTTGCCGAGTTGACCACGCCTCCATCACAATTAAGGATAATTGTCAACTGTTTATGCGCCATTGAGTCTGCTTTTCTTTTTGGATTTGCTTCCATAGCCTTTGTCCAACCTAGAACAAACTACGAGGCAGCAGTTGTTTGATTTTGGAGTTGTCTCTCCTAGAAGAGTGGCTGGCCCCAGCTAACGAGCCTCATCTGCCCGAGGGTTTGAACTCGAGACTTTTTGGTTTAGCAACCATGAGCTTTACCAACTCAACCACGCCGACCCCCTTGTAGATGTTCAATTTTCTTGTTTATAGTCTTAAAAAATATTTCATGTATCTGTTTAGTTTTTCCCCAATCCTCCAACAATTTCCATTTAACCACAGGGGAACCACTCTAGCCTTTCCTGGTTCAGCTTGTTAGAACATTAGATTACTCTCCCTTAGCTAACCTGACGTCATCAGAATAAACCAATGGCTTACCTGTCCCACCTTTAAACTAGAAGACATTTTTAAAATGTTTCTGTGTCTTTTCTGTTTTTTTAAATGAGAATGATATGTAATGGCATTTGACAACACCACTGATAGAGTTGTTGAACATTGTACAGTCTATACAACTTTTCATATTTCTCATGCTTAGTGTTGTAGAGAACTATGAAGCTCCACTGATCTCAGCAAGCAATACAAAAGTCTGGAACTTGTTAAACTGATAACTGAATGTATTTAAATATTAATTTAGCTGGTGATACAGAATGTATGAGTCAGCTGCTAGTAAAGAAATCAATTAACCCAGATGAAGTCATACTAAAATGACTTCCTCAATTAACTAAGATGGTTAGAAGACATGAACTATGTTCCAACTTTAAATGTTCACCAAACAAAAACACATAAAAAATGAACAAGACAAACAATGAAAGTATTGCCAGACTGGATTTATTTGTTGTCTAAGAGTAATTCATTTAATTGGTGTAATGGTTTTGTTACCCCCAAAATTTTGCTTTAAACCTCGCAATGGTAGAACTAGTTAGTACCGCATCTAGTAATACAATAGCTGTTTATTCTTTCAATCTCTTGTGATAACTGTGTCTTTCTGTCTAGTATGCTATTCTACTACATGCTTATTAGCTACACATTTTTTATATTTACAGTGAATGATTGAATAATCTTTGTCTATAAAAATGGTTGCTTCATATACAATCAAAAAGTTGTTTACTTGTTGCCCTGTTCTAGTGGTATTAAAGCTCAAACATTTTTTATCATCTTTCCAAGTTATGCCAGCTTTATATTGTAATGTTTCCTTCAAAAGCTATTGCTTTCAAATTTTATCATATCTTTTTCAGCATGAGGAATTTATCATTAAAAATTACTCCAATTGAATCGTTGTGCATGTTATTCATTGATATTTTCTAGTTAATTCATTTTTAGCCTAAATCTAGCTAGAGATTTACTTATTCTCACTTATCAAACAACTGTGAATGTCTTATAAACAAATATTTCATTGCAAAACATTTTCCTTACAGTGGCCTTGTTACTTTACTTGTTAGTTTTTCTTAATACTTTCAGATTTGAATTTTTTTGTCTTCCATTTCACTAGCAATTTTTTTTTCTTGTGGAGATAAATAACAACCTAAGTTATCATGATAGTTTGCTTTTTATGTACTATGCAAAGTTAAAAAGCTGTGTTTTGCTCTCAATGGATGAATTGTTTAAAACAGGAATTGTAGCTATTCAGTACCATTAGTGTTAAATTTTTTTCATTTGTGTTTAGAGGCTTTAGATTCACTCATTATAAATTAAACCATGATTTAAAAAAAAAATTATACTACTTAGATTTTCTGTACATTGATGAAGTAATGTCAATATAATGCTTTATTTTATCAGCTGTATACAAAAATCATTGTGTTAAATACTATCATTAGAATTACCTCTAGCAATAACACATTTTAAAAACCCATCTAATATTTTTGTTCATTCCAAAAAAACCACCTTTGAAAAGTTTTTAATTTGAAGTTTTGTTTTATCAATGAAAAATCTGGATAGAAGTCAAATTCTATGTGTTGATAAAAATATGACATCAACTTTTTTTTTTCTCTAGCTACATAGAGTGGATTCAGTGAGTTGTAGATCTAAAAAAATTAAAACTTCTCAAATGGATTGTTAGCTATCTAACTTGTTGTTAACTGCCATTCCAATCCAACTGATATTTTTCTCTGGTATTATCTGAAGACTTGCATGCATGTTTTTTCTATAACTAATGGTTGACTTTTTAACTATGCTATTGGAACTGTTCTTCATATATTCTTGGTGTGGTTGTATCAAACTGAGTACATTTTATAAACCCATTTTATAAGTTTTTGTTAATAATTTTCAAGCATATTTTATTGAGTAATAATCACTACATTTTTTGTGAAAGAACAATCATTTTTGTTTTTATTTATTTACTATTCCTACATAGACAACATATCAATTTTTTTTCACAAATAAGCCTTAAGATTAAACATGATTTTTATTATTTCAATTGTAGAAATGTTATGTTTTAACTTGGGTTCATTCTGCTTTCTACATTTTGTAGTTCAATACACTTTTAATCTATGAAATGTTTTGTTATTTGCATGTCCAATTTTATATATTGTAAGATGAATATCTACAATAGCTGAATGAAAAATCATTACTCTTCTTAATATATATTATTATATTCAGAAGGTTTAAAGCCAGAATTGTGTACTCAAAAAATAAGTAATTATTAAAGCAAGATTATTTGTAAATGTTCATCAATTGGCTTATTGTTTTAAAAGGAATGTTTTGGTGTGCTCTCTTGTAATGGTCACACTGGGTTCTGAGTTTTTAATCAAAGCAGTCACGTTACAAAATAAACTTTTCCAGTTTTGTTTTTTAATTTTCTTATTCTAAATCTTACTCATAGAGGTAAAATGGTATCTTTTAAAATTATTACCAGTGTTGTTAAGCATCCAATTAATTCTTATTTTACTAGCAGGACTTTATTGGTAAAAAAAAAATTGCAATAATTTATTTATAGAAAATGGCCAAAAGTAAGTACTACTATTGTAGACAGTACTTAGAGAAAAATACCCTGTAAAGAATATATTTCTTTGGTTAATAAAATCAACCAGTTTAAATTTCTATTTGTTAATATTATTGATGTTGTAAACCAGGCTCTCATAAGTAGACATGTGTTGCATATTTTTATGTATATAAAAACTGTGACTCATGTCCTTTGCAAATAAAAATCAAAATGCCTGAACATTAGCTTATTATTCTTATCCATAGGTACTTAAAATTGTATTAAAATATATGAGGCTAAATAAAGCACCTTTGTTTTTAGTTTCTCTTACTTATTTTTCTTCAAATTATCTGGTGGTTTAAATTCAGAACAAAAAGAATTGTGTATACCATTGAGTATCAGTCTTAAGCTTTGCAATAGTGTTGTCTTTAGAGTACAGCAGGGGTCTCCAAACTTTTCAGCCAGAGGGCTGCATTAACTATTAAATATCGGTTCGGGGGCCAGTTTCTTCCAGGCATCTCTTTGGGGATGGGGGAACATATACCCCCCCCTCTCTTATTCTCTCCCCCCTCCCCCCCCCCCCCAACGAAATATATATTATATAGAAATGTATCTAAATTTCAGCGACTCATCCAATGCAATTAAAAAATGGCGAAACGTGCTTGCATTTTTCGCTATTTGAGTCGCAATGTTTTCACCAATGTCTGCAAAACGGCGGGCAATGGTATTTGCACCCAGAACTACATTTTCAACTTCTTTTGAATTTTCTGGGCAAAGTTCCACAGCCACCTCTAACACAAATTTTTTCCTTGGACAAAAAGATCTCCGCGGGCCATAGTTTGGAGACCCCTGGAGTACAGTATAGTGGTTTTGATGTGTATATTTATTTGTTGATTTTTGCTTTATTGAGCATTGTATTTAAACAAAGTCTTTCTGACAGTTTATTCCAAGAGAATACTTGTAATGGAAATGATGTTTATTCAAATATATTAAGAACATATTTTAATCAAAAACCGCGTGAACCAAATATTTTTATGAACTGCAAAGGTCATATTTCAAATATTTTCTATACAGTTGTGAAAGATCTAAACTTAACACGAAAACATTTGATTTGTTGAGGTTTTAATTATAGTTGTATATTAAAGCTAATTTGAATAACAATGCAGAAACTGTATGAAATATTCACACACAAAAAATCATGTTTATTTATGCAAATAACAAGCATTTGATAGCAGTAGCAAATCTATTTGTCAGCACTGAGTTGGTTGAGAATCTGTGAAATAGCCTTGACCCTGGACATAATCTTGGTCACATGATCAGGATGCAGATGGTCTCTAAACTTTTGAGTAAATTTATCAGGGTGCCAACGAACCTGCTGTGTTCGTAAATACTTGCGATAGACAGTTCCACTTTTGTCAGGAATATCACAAAACAGAACATCAGCTACGGAGTCTAGCTCTAGACATGGCCAGGGTATACACCCAAAAGTCAATGCCTTTTTCCCAGCTAAATGGTTGATAACATGAGCAAATTTGGCCTCATATTTATTTTTCTTTAACAAAAACCTGCTTGTTTTGTTTTCAACAGGGGGTGGTTTGAAATTTTTTCTCATTTCTTCCCGAGCATTTTTTAACTTTTCATCTTCGTCTAGTCGAGGTTTTTTACGGCTGGTTTCCTCTGGGTCATATTTGCGCTTGCTTTTAGTAAACGTATGATGCTGACTTTTTTGCTTTGAATAATATTCATGTCTTATTCTCTCTGTCCAGTCATCGAATGTTTCTGTTGACTTTTCTTGTGTGTAATCTAAATGAAATCATATAAATTCAAAGGTAAAATAATGTAAAATAATTATATTCGCCTATTGATTTTGAAAAAGAATAATCATTTCTTCATACAACTTTAAATAACATTTTTTCTAAAAGTGTTACAGAATGTAAGCTTATCCGGCAGGTACAATTTCTATTTGATTACAACAATATTCAATAGTTTCTTCATGCTGCAACTTTGATCGTTCTTTAATTTTCCAGAAAACTGGAATACCGCTATTTTACATCATTTAATATTAAGAAAAAATGTATGAAGTGTGAGGTGCTACAATAAGAACTTAGCATTAAATGATTTTTTAATTACCATAATCAAAGTCATAACGGGAATGCTGCTCTTCAAATTCAAATTCAGCCTCTTTATTCAACTTTTCCTTCCACATTTCTTCCTCTTCTTCTTGCTTTCTTTTTTCCTCATAACTCTCTTCCTGTTAAATGAAAGGAAATTTAATAAAACTGGAACTAAACCTTTACAATGACCTGAAGCAATATTTTAAGAAATCTTGAAACAATTAAACAATATTTTTAGAATAATAGCTATTGTTTATCATATATATAACAAAAACAAGCTGTAATTGATTGTAGCAAACATAATCTACACCAATATTGGATAATGTATTTAATACAGCATTACCTCCACTGGGATCCCTTACCTGTTGTGACCTAGAAAACGCAGCTTTAATTTTCTTCTTGAGCTGTCTTAACAAATCATAACCTGTGACGCCCACCCTGTTTTCCACATCCTGTCCAAGAGGGTAGCTGTCTAAAAGAGGTGGCACTAACTCCAGCAGTGCTATAAAAAAAATTATATATTTGATTATTTAATTAAGATAGGAAATGACCATAGACTTCATAGCATCATGACATAATGAATCTAAAATTATGTTCATTCTTATTCTTATTAAACCAATTAAAATAATGCTTATTTAAATTTATCCCTATCTTTATTATGATGTATAGTCTATAATAAAAAGGTCAAGTACTTGGCCTATATGGTAGATGTAGTAAGGGTTCATATGTTTTGACTATAGCACATAGCCCAGCCAGCTTTAATTTATCTGACTACTCAAGTACCCATCAAGGCTACATAGATTCAGGTTCTAGGGTCTCAAGCTAAGACCCAATAAATTAAGGATTGTGGTTGGTTATTAAATGCAAAACTACTTGACATCACCATCCCATAAAATATAACTATAATTTCTATCTTTCAAATATGAAACAGCTGCTTATTAATGTAGTGTTATTTGGTATTTCCACATATTTTATCTTCAGCTTTTTTTAAAAACATGCAGATGTATTTAGCTAAGCTCAAGAAGATCTAAAAAAAATAAGTGATAGAATATGAGGAGTCAAGCCAGATCACAAAGACAACCCAGGAGGAGTTAACAAACTCTTAAAAGTTTAAGCAGAAGGGTCATTCCCCCTTACTGTATGACCTTACTTTCTCTAGCTTGAAAAGCCTCTTCTTTTAGTCCTCTCAATAAAGCTGTATGAAGTGGGAGGTTCCCATCTCGGTCTTGTAAAGTTGCATCACAGTCCAGTCTCAGTAAACACCTAAATAAAACAGCTTAAAGAGTCACATTTTAAAAAACTAACATACATCACAATGTTTGTTCTAAGAGACTGTTATGTATTGATTAAGGAAGATAAGCAATATTGAAATAATTGAACAATTTATTGACCTTACAAAAGTCAAGAGTAATGTGGGATGTATTATTGCAGCTGCTATTAAGTGGTACATTTCAAAACCAGGAGGTAATTTAATATAACACTGCTGTTTTTAATGACAGTAGTTGTAAAGGGTTATTTATAAGATTCATCTTCACCACAGATATGGAAAAAGAAAGGATGGCTTGGAGTTTACTAGTAATGATATAGAATCGCTCTTAGCTCTATAATATCTGGTAGCTTCTCAATTGCTTCATTTACATACAACCTGTTGCATATTTTTTTTTTATTATTTTCAAATAACCAAGAAATAAACAAAAGCAGCACCATTCCACAGTATAGTATTTCATAGCTGGTGAACAATAAATCAATGACAGACAAAAGTAAAATGGATTCATGCTTTAGAAACATTTTTTTTCAAATAGTCTAAAACATATCTATGTAAGCCTACTATAGAAAAAAAAATACTCAAAACTTAATTACCTCATTATATCTGGTGATCCTTTTTTGGAACAATAATGTAGAACATTTTTCCCATGGCCAAAGTCAATATCATTTAAACAGATATTGTGAGATGCTATAAATGCTTTGAGCTTTAAAGGTCTGTTATGTTTTATAAATTTTTTAAGTTTTTGTTTATAGCCCATTTTTTTATCACAAGCCTTTTGCCAAGTCTCCTTTTCAACTAGCACGCCTTTTAAAAGAGAGAACATTTGTAAATTTTTTAAACTAAGAGCACTAGATTAACAATACCAATAATACCATATTAGAGTAACTGCCAGAAAATACAACTTCTGGTTCAAGTGCCTAGTTTCATTGTGGTTTGAGCAAGAAAATAAACAAAAATACTTAAATATGTTGGAGGGATGATTTTAGATAGCAATGTCTGATAATAGACTCTTCCATAAAATAGGTGTGTTGGGTTGTTAGTAGTAGTATTGTAATCTTGACTAATTTTATGGTTAAAAATTAGGGTTCAGTGTATGGTAGGACTAGGGTTGAGGTTAGGGACAGGGTTAACATTGACATTAGCCAGCAATGTGTGTATTTAGTGAACTACCAGTAACCTAACACCCCTTTTTTAAAGAAGATTCCATATAGTACACTGGTATAAAAATTCCCCCCATTGAAGAAAAAGAGTATATATTTATTATATAATATAACAACTAGTATACAGATAATAGTAACAACTAGATATAGATTTCTAGAATGCTATAGATCTAACATTCTGTACAGGCCTCAGCTCATATCTGCCTCCGACCTTTCAGATTCTGAGTTAACAAACAATTTTTTACAGTTACAACCACTATTAATTAAAAATTGCTATTAAACTACATTCTCTAGCCGGACCATGGCCAAGACATAAAGCTATTGAAGTGTCTATTCCCAGTTTCTCGACTAGAAATAGTCAAATTATTATTAGGGCTATTCCTAATCATAACCATTTTCAATACATTTACACATTACAGAAAAATGCCTTAGAAGTCATGATTATTTGTGGTTGAGTGGACCAACCAATGGCAGCATACATGAGTGATGGGGAACAGGGCATTTCCCCCCTGTCAATTACCCCCCCCCCCGACATTACCCCCCAGAGTAATTACCCCCCCTGTCAATTACCCCCCGCCCAGTAGGACATTACCCCCCACCCCGGACAGGGTTAGAGTTAGGGTTAGGGCTAGGTTTAGGGTTGGTTAGGGTTAGGGCTAGGGTTAGGACTAGGGTGAGGGTGAGGGTTAGGTTTTAGGGCTAGGGCTAGGGTTAGGGTTAGGATTAGGGTTAGGATTAGGGCTAGGGTTAGGGTTAAGATTAGGGTTAGGGCTAGGGTTATGGTTAGAGCTAGTGTTAGGGTTAGAGCTAGTGTTAGGGTTAGGGTTGTGTCTAGCTTTGGTTTTGGTTTTGTGTGAAGTTTTAGGCTAAGGTGGATGCTTAGGTTTTGGTCTTTTTCTTAAGATTTGGATTAAATTCTAGTTAGAGTTAGGATTTTAACTTGAGAGGGGGGGGGGGGGTGTAATTCCCCGGGGGGGGGGGGTAATTGACAGGGGTATTTGACGGGGGTAATTGCTCCGGGGGGTAAATACGGGGGGGGGAAATATCCAGGGGGGTAATGTCCTGTAGCAGAGTGATGATCATACTCATCATACATTTGGCATTTATTTTAATTTTTAAATAGGCCCTACACAACATTACTCACTAACATTTATTCATTACATTTAGTTTTTTGCCATTTTTTCATGAAAGGACTACTTTCCTTAATTTTTTCTCATCATCCACGTGATTGTGGGCATATTTGCAGCAAGAAAAAAAAAAAGATTTTTGCTATGCTAAGTCACTAAGCTCAGGGCTAATACTAAGAGAGTTAAAGACTGACTTATTCCAAGAGATGAGTAAAATAAGAACTAACTTTAACTAAGCTAAGAGTCTAAGCTAAGACTCTAAGTCTAAACTCTAAGTCAACTCTAGATCTAAGTTTAGTTAGTTTAGTCACTGTGTATTCTTAATTAATACTAATAGTTTCGCTGTCTGTCTATGTATCTATCTATCTGACAAGAACGCTCTAGAGAAAACACAAGGAAAATAAAAACATGCATAGTAATTCGAAAAACGAAGTATGACGTCGACACATTTAGCATCTCAAGCCGGAGAGTGCACACAGTAATATGACGTCATTGATTATCGAGTAAACATTGAATAACAAGGAAATTTTGTCTAATCTAAGTGGTTTGCGTGAAGAGTTTCTTTCATACAATTCTTCGGGTAGGGGCGAAGCCCCACCCCCGCGTAAGAACGTCTGAGCCCCCCCCCCCCCCCCCCCCTCCCTAACTCAAAAGAAATTTCTTCATCGATACTCTATAATAAAATTACCGCCTAATTAATGTGTCTAATCTAAAAAGTGGTTTTCTTGCAATTTCTTTAATGCAATTCTTCGGGTGGTGGCTAAGCGCGACACCAGTGTTTCTTTCAGACTTTTTCCTCCCCGGAGAGGGGTGGGGGTACTTGAAATTTTCGGGGGCGGGGGTAGAATTTTCGGGGAGGGGGCGTACACTGGAAAAAGTATATAATTATATTTCGTTGAATGGGACGGTAGACATGTTTTTTTGGGGGGTGGGGGTGGGTGTGTTTTGGGGGGGTGTGTGTGTTTTGGGGGGGTGGGTGGGTGGGGGGTGGTGTGTGGGGGTGTGGGTTGGTTTTAGTTTAGAGAAAAGAGACAGCACTATCAGCCTAGCGCCCGTTGTATCCTTCCTCAACGGGCCATTTTTCTCGTTATTAATAATTTGAGTTTGACTTTTACTCAGAAAGAAGAGAGACAAAAAACTAAGTTTAGACTAGATCTAGACTCAACACTAACATCGTAATTGACGTAATGCTATCTCATTGGGGAGTGTGATAAACAAGGTAGAATCTAAGTAAACTAGACTCAGATAAACATCTTCTAGAATCTAGATTCTAGATCTATTTTAGATTATAATTATTATAATATTTTGTAGGACCAGAACGTTTTGTTTTTTGTTTAGTAAGGGGAAGCTATTCTTAAGTAAGCTTTTGCACTTTATCATACTTTTATTTTCAGAAGAGCTCTTAATCCGGTTAACACCCTTTGGTCATAGATTATCTAGTTTGTTTACTATCAGTATCAAGTTGGTATCGACAATCAAGTCAAGAAATACGAATTAGCATTTTGAAATATCTTTGTTTGATATTAAGAGAAATTCAGCTTATAAGATATAGATCTATATTACTTATCACCACGTTGATATTTTAATATGATATAAAATGAGTTTTTTATTTCAAAGATATCTACCCAAATCCTCGACAGACATTTTTGCGTTTTGTTTTTTGCTTGCGGCTATTCACGCAATTGGATTATTTGAGCTTTTTGTTGTTCTTCCATCAATATACTCTTCGAAAAGTCACGCAGCTGATAATGGAGAATTTTCATTATATTATTTTCACGTTTTCATGGGTCTCTACATTTATGTATGTGTAATGATAAATCTCTACATGGTTATGACAACAAACACAACAATCAGGGGAAAGGTTTTACCTTCAATTCTACGGCCAGGGTGGCGATTTTGTGCTGTATGTGAAAGTAATGCTCCACCCAGATCATTTCATTGTTATACTTGCAAAACTTGTGTGCTCAAACGTGATCATCATTGTACATTCACTGGGAACTGCATTGGACTTTACAATCAACGCTACTACATCGGCCTGGTTTTCTTTATGTCGTTAGCAGCCGCATATTCATGTGTTCTTAACATTGATTTCATCTATCACATTTTAGGGAGCCTGTCACTTCAGTCACTACTGACAATATTATTCCCAATGATTTCTTGGATTTTCCTACATAGTGATGTTATGACCAGTTTTCAAGTTCTGATGACATCTCTGTGTGTTGCAGGTTTCAGTTTGTGTACAGGCTTATTGGCGTATCACATGATCAATGCTGTCAACGGACAAGTAGTTTATGAGCGTACATACAACATTAAGACATATAATTTGGGATGGAAGCAAAATATGAGAATTCTTTTAGGAACAAGATGGAAAATAGCATTGCTTTGTCCATTAATAAATTCACCTATTCCTTCAGATGGCTTAGAATTTATGACAAAAGAAAATTTTGAATCCTTGAAGACGATGTAAACTTTTTTACATTATTAAAACAAATTTAAAAATGAAATATGTTTTTATAGCTTGATTGAAATTTTGCTGTTAAATTTTTAAATGAGTCATGTCTTACTGTCTATAGTCATTTTTAGTAGATTATCCTCTGAATTTTTTCATTCTTAGAACTTAACATTACACACACTATTAAAATAGCTGGTTGGGCCAGGAGACAATTTAAAAAAATTACTATCAGTATCAGCCTATAAACTTTTATTGTGACATTATTTTTAATGTATATTAAGTTGTTGTACTGAAACTTTTTTTTTTACTTTGTTATAAGTCTGATCTAATTAGTTAATAGTATAAAAATAAAGCATGTTTTAAATGCTGCATATTATGTTGCTATAAAATAAACCCAATGTTCTTTAGTTTGCTCTATTATCATACAAACATACATATGAAAATGTTAGTTCTCTGTCCTATAAAAAATTCAGTTATAATTTTTATATTTTACCTGACAAATTCAGCATTTAAAAACTCAATTAATGAATATATCTTGGACCTAAATTTACACTAAATTGAACTTGTGGTCATGTAAAATTCAGTGTTGTTGAATTGAAACAAAACAAAGGATAACTCTTGTTATATATGTTTCTTAATATTAGAGCTTACGACTTCTAAACTGAAAGTCTTGAATTTGGATCCCAAACTTGAGTCTGTAGGATGTCATTCAGTTTGCCCAGCTCTGATGGGTACCTGACTCTAGTTAAGGAAATAAAGATGGCTAGGCATAGTACTTACCACACTATACCTTCATATGCCAAGAACATTAAAACAGATGAACTTAACTTCATCCGCCCTATGTGTTTTGGGGACAAATGGAGAAAGATAATGAAAGAAGATGATGACTAACAGTTTTTTACTAAACAGTATGACTGCTGCTACATATGTTTTGATATGCTTATACTTATTATAATTTTTGTTGCCTTCATCACTTCGATACAATTGAAATTTATTTTTGTTACCGCCTTTTAACTATTTTATATTTATTTAATACCATTTTGAATTTTTTAAGAGTGTAATGTTGCAAATTGTGATGTTTAGTTTTTTAGTTTGCCTTTTTTACATTTTACAATTATTATCCATTGCTGACAATTTTTTAAAAGCTTCTTTTTTATTTTGTTCCACTATTTTCAGATTTGTAAATTTGTTATTTTGTCATATTTAATAATAACAATAAATTATAATCAATACTTTTTAAAACTCTACCAAAGCTAGTATATTCATATTATAAGAAGTGGTCATCCATAAATGAAATTACACTCCAAGTGGTGTGTGGAAGGGGGGGGGGGGGTCGGGAACCAAAAATGTCCATTTACAAAAAGATTAAACTGATTTTTAAATTATTTTGCAATGAATAGAAATAAAATAATTCAATTTTGAATTACCAGCGTAATTATTTTTAAAAAGAAAAAGCCATTAAAAACAACAAGAAATGTTATTTTTGGAGTGGATCTCTCTTTCTTTCAACTTTTTCTTTCAGGCACTGCACCGCATTCCACCCCCTGAATGAAAAGTAAAGATTATATAAATTATATAGAAAATAGATTCATTCACCCCACCCCCTGGAGTTTTCATGTGTCCTTTAAACTCTCCCCCCCCCCTCCCCTTATGTTTTAAGAGCCTCCAGAAATATTTTGGTCCGATAAAAAACCACCAGTTATACAGTGGGGGGGGGGGGGGAGGGGGAGTTTGCAAAATACATGTCGTCATTTATGTAGGACTCCCTACTAATGTTTAAATGCATCTGCAGACTCCGAATGTTTAAGTGCAAGGGAGATAATTAATAAGAGCACTGAAATCCTTTTTTATTAGTTGCGTCCCTTGGACGTGCGTCACAAGAAATAGAATAAAAACACAATCATTAAACAAATTGTGAAAATCTTAGCCTAAATCAACTAAAAGTCAATTTTTTTTTCCCAAACTTAAATCTTGTTAAACATTTTTCACTGTTCCAAGTAATGTATCCTTTCGAACCTGAAGGTCAATAAGGCAGGTGAAGTAGAGTTTACCTGTTTCAGCACTATGCCCAGCCGCTTTTATTTTCCGAAGAATGTTGCCCCCCCCCCCCCCCCCCCGGAGAAAAAAAGTCTGGAAGAAACACTGCTGATGTGGTGTATTGAAAACCTATGCTATTCTCGAGCTGTACCAAAAACCTCTTTTGTTTTCCGCTGCATTGAAAACCAATGATGTCCTTCTGAACACCACCAAGCATAGATGCTGTTTCTGCTTCAATGACCACGTTAACTCGAACGTTTTCATGTCCGATCAACTGCCCAATCCCTCTGTACTTTCCACATGGCTGAGCTCGATGACACCACCATATACACACGACCCAACAATGTCATGCTATTACTAATGCTATCAATTTCAAATTAAACCACCCACCTCTTTTCTTTGTCGCCGACCATCATATTGTCTTTTACCTCGCGAATCTCTTAAAATATCGTGACCACTTCACTAAGAGGAAGACCACATAAAAGAGTTCCCCTAGCTTTTTACCACTTTCAAAAAGACAACCCATTTAAACCTTTACATCTAGTCACTCCACCCTATCATTGATTAAATTACTCTCATTCAATTAATTAAATAAAAAAAACAACTTTAACTGACTAGGTCACGTGGGCGATTGTTTATATTTTATAACGCAGCCTCTACCCGTCATAAC